AGTTGGAAAACATGGACTCGGTGACAGAAATGGAGCTGGAGAGAGAATGATCGAATTTTGCACAATCAATAACTTATTCATAGCAAATACATTTTGTAAGAGGCATAAACGCAGGTTATATACCTGGATTTCACCTGATGGCATGCATAGGAATCAGATCAATTACATAAGTGGAAAGAACCCCTGGAGAAGCTCAATATCAGCTGTGAAAACTAGGCCAGGAGCTGAGTGTGGAACAGAACACCAACTACTCATATGCAAATTCAAGCTAAAGCTGAGGAAAATGAAACCAAAACCGAGGCAACCAAAATATGACTTTGAGTCTATCCCACCTGAATTCCAGAACCATCTTAGGAACAGATTTGAGGCTTTGAACACTAATGAACGAAGGTCAGATGAGTTGTGGGAGGATATCAAGTGTATCATCCAGGAAGAGTGCAAACGGTCATTACAAAGAGAGAAGAGGAAGAAAAGACCAAAATGAATGTCAGAAGAGACTCTGAAAATGACACTGGAGCGCAGAGAAGCCAAAGCACAAGGAAGAATTCAAGATACTAAGGAGCTGAATAGAAGATTTCAAAAGGCAGCACGGGATGACAAAGCAAAATATGACAATGAAATGTGCAAGGAGTTGGAGTCAGAAAATCAAAAGAGCCAATGCTTTCGGCAGAACGTTAAACGATCCCGGAATGATTAAAAGAAGATGGAAGGAATATACTGAGTCACTGTATCAAAAAGAATTGGAAGACACAGAAGAATTTCATGAAACAACATATGAGCAAGAGCTATGGTGATGAAAGAAGAATTTCAGGCTGCTTTGAAGGACATGGCAAAAAATAAGGCTCCAGGAATAGATGGTATACCAATTGACATATTTCAGTTAACAGATGCTGCCCTGGACGTGCTCACCAAGTTGTGCCAAGAAATCTGGAGAACGACCACTTGGCCAACTGACTGGAAGAGATAGATATTTGTTCCTATCCGAAAGAAAGGGGACCCAACCGAATGTGGAAACTACAGAACAATCTCACTGATTTCACATGCAAGCAAGATTTTACTGAAAATTATCCAAAAATGACTGGAACATCAACAGAGAACTACCAGAAGCCCAGGCTGGTTTCAGAAGGGGTCGTGGTACTAGAGATATTGTAGCTGATGTTAGATGGATCTTGGCTGAAAGCAGGGAATACCAGAGGAATGTCTATCTGTGTTTCATTGACTATGCAAAGGCATTTGACTGTGTAGATCATAACAAACTGTGGCTGACTCTGAGAAGAATGGGAATCCCAGAACACTTGATCGTTCTAATGAGAAATTTATACTTGGACGAGAAGGCAGTCGTCACAACAGAGCAAGGGAACACTGCATGGTTCAAAATTGGGAAGGGCGTACGCCAGGGATGCATCCTATCTCCATACCTTTTCAACCTATATGCAGAACAGATTATCCGGGAGGCTGGGCTCTATGAGGAGAAATGTGGGGTCAAGATTGGTGGACAATTTATCAACAATCTGCGTTATGCGGATGACACAACCCTGCTTGCTGAAACTGAGGAGGACCTGAAGCGCCTGCTGCAGAGCGTCAAGGACTGCAGCCTATAATATGGATTGAGGCTCAATGTCAAGGAGACAAAGATTCTCACCACTGGACCAAATGGCAGCATCGGGATGGAGGTGAAGAGATTGAGATTGTTCACAGCTTTAGTTTGCTTGGCTCCATAGTCAACAGTCTTGGCACCAGCAGCCAGGAAATTAAAAGGCTCATTGCCATGGTAAAGTCTGCTGTTAGGGACCTCTCCAAAGTGCTGAAGAGCAGTGGTGTCTCTCTGGAGACTAAGGTGCGTCTGATACAGGCCATGGTCTTCGCAATCACCTGTTATGCATCAGAGAGTTGGACAATGACCAAGGAGGATAGAAGGAGAATTGATGCCTTTGAGCTGTGGTGCTGGAGAAGAGTATTGAGAATACCATGGACAGATTTGTCCTAGAGGGGGTTAAACTGGGTGGCTCCTTGGAGGCAAGGATTCTGAGGTTCCATCTAACTTACTTTGGACATGTTGTGAGGAGAGACCGGTCCTTAGAGAGGGACATCATGCTTGGGAGTGTGGAGGGACGGCGCAGGGTAGGAAGACCCTTTATGAGGTGGATTGATTCAGTGACTGGGATAATTGGGATGGGAGTGTCAGAAACAGTGCAATTGGCAAAGGACAGAATGGAGTTTAGGGCTGTTGTTCATAGGGTGGCTATGAGTCGCAGGCGACTCGACGGCACATAACAACAACAACAACACAACACCTACTGTTAGCTGGTTTTGACAAGGAAAGAAAGACTATCAAATGGGGAAACGATAACCTCTTCAAAATATGGTGCCGGCAAAACCGGACTTCTTCCTGTAGAAAGCTGGATCAGGATCCATATCTTAAACCAGACACAAAAATCAACTTGAGATGGACCAGAGATAACAGGGATAAAGTTCCAAACCATAAAGATCATAAGACTCGAAACAGGACCAAATTGAGAAGCCCTAGTAAGGTACAAAGAGGCTGGCAAGTCTAGGCAGATATGCACAAGCAGTACAAGATTACAATGATGAATAGCATCTTCTAAAAAGTAAGTCTCTATGCACATCAAAAACTTCTCCCAATAGGGTGAAAAGGAAACCTGCTGACTGGGGGGAAAACATTTGGCAATGCCATCTCAGACAAGGGTCTCATAGCAAAAGTTTATAGAATATAACAATCTGGAACAAGAGTGCATTGCAAAGTGGAGTGAGAGTGTGTGAGGGGGAAGGAAGAAAATGTACCACAATGAATAAACAAAAATAATAATATTTAAAACGTTCTGATACAGTGCTCAACTGCTAACTACAACAACAACAAAATGTTGGCAGTTGAAATTCACGTAGCATTTCCAAGGGAGAAAGATTATTGCTCGACTCCAATAAAGATTATATCCTAGAAAACTCTACAGGGCTATTCTATTCTGTTAGCTGCGGTTGCTGTGAGTGTTAAAAAAAAAAATCTAGTCACAATAAGTAACAACAGCATGTGTCAAGTTCTGTTCTGGGTGCTTATACAATTGGCCCTTGAACTACTTGTATTTTGTTGGTGGGATTGTAAAATGGTACAACCACTCTGGAAGGCAGTTTGACATTTCTTCAAAAAGCTGAACATAGATAAATTATGTATACTGCATTGAAATAGATGAGGGAGAGAACTGTTTAAAAGGGATATATGATTAGGTATTATTGTCATGATGGGAGTCCAGGACAAAGGCTGCACTGTGGACTTGAGGGGAGGGATTGTATAACAATAAAAGAATTTTACTTTTCAGAGAGAAGAGCTAAATAGGGGGAGGGGTGGGCAGGGAGAAAAGTGCAGCAATGAATGAATGGAATTCCAAGGTCTCTGTAAACTTTCATTTAAAAAAAGGTCAACATCAAGGGGAAAAAATATTCCATATAATCCAGCTATTCCACTGCACCAATGTTCATAGCAGAATTATTCGCAATAGCAAGGAAATGGAAACAGCCCAAATCTCCATCCATAAATGAGTGAATTGAGAAATGATGGTATATTCATAAAATGGAATACTTTATAGCACTCAGAAACAGTTATTTAGGAAAATATTATATAATATGGAAGAGGCTAAAGAGTATAATGTTGAGTGAACTAATTGAGTCTCACAAGGACAAATACTTCATAAGACCATTATTGTAAAAATAGAAGGATTACTAATGGGATGTGTACTAAAGTCCAAAGGGGAAGCAGGAAGGGGGAGAAGTGATGAGGTTGCAGAATTTGGTGGGCAGAGAAAAGGAGTGAAGGAATTAGGAAATATCTAGTGGGGATCTGAAAAAATGGGATAATGGTGGGCATAGTTCAATTGTAATCAATTTTATAAAACGCAATCAATGGGAATAATTGTATGAAATACAATGTGAATAGAGGAATGTGTGAAACACAATGTATGCACATTTTGTATCCAAACCAATATAAAATAAAAATAGTTGGTTTTTTAGATGTAATTAGTTAATTTTCAGTGGTTTTTTTTCTGTTACAGGTCTTTTACTTTTACAGTAAATAATGTACCTGGTGGACACATCTTAGTGATGGCAGTTATTCTACCAGTAAAGCTGGAAATATCTTCTAATGAACTGGAGTTGAGACCACATGCATTTTCGGTGAAAGCATGTTTTAGGGAGACGGTTAGGTTGTATAATCATCAGAATTATTTTGCTCAATTTAGTTGGGAACCTATGCACAAAGAAGACTCAGCATTTACCATTTTCCCTACTACAGGTAACTATTAATTCTATTTGATTGAAATATTAATTCAGTCATTTAGTTATCAATAATTTATAAATGTATACTGTTACTAAGAATACTGAAGTAATTTAGATTTGATCATCAGCAACATATATTTTTATGTTGTTGTTTGGTGCCATTTAGTCTAGTACAACTCATAGTGACCCTTAAACAACAAATCTGAGCTGTCTTCTATCCTGTGTCATCCTTACAATCTGTGACATGTTGTTGTTGTTATGTGCCATTGAGTCGTTTGCGACTCATAGTGACCCTGTGTACAAGAGCCCTAAATGCCGTTCTATCCTGTGCCAACCTCACTGTCACAAACACATTCATTCCCACCACTCCACTCACAGAATTGATCCATCTCATCGAGGGTCTTCCTCTCCTGTGCCATCCCTCCACTCTCCCAAACATGATGTCCCTCTCCAAGGACCAGTCTCTCCTTGAAACATGGCCAAAGTATGTCAGACGAAGCTTCAGAATCCTTGACTCCAAGGAGCAGCCTGGTTTCACCCTCTCTGGGACAAACCTATTTCTTCTCCTAGCAGTCCATGGTATATTCAACACTTTTCTCCAGCACCACAACTCAAAGGCATCAATTCTCTTTCTATCATCCCTATTCACTGTCCAACTCTCTGATGCATAGCACGTAATTGCAAAGACTATAGCCTGGATCAGGCGCACCTTAGTCTCCAGCCTGATGTCATTGCATTTCAGTACTCTTGAGAGGTCCCTCACAGCTGACTTTTCCAATGCAATTCATCTCCTGATTTCCTGGCTGCTGTTACCAAGAGTGTTGACTGTGGAACGAAGTAAACGAAAACTGTTAACTATCTCAATCTCTTCACCATCTATACTGATGCTGCCAGTTGGTCCAGTGGTGAGAATCTTTGTTTTCTTGATATTGAGTTTCAGTCCATATTGAAGACTGCAGTCCTTGACCTTCTGCAGCAAGCACTTCAGGTCCTCCTCAGTTTCAGCGAGCAGGGTTGTGTCATTTGCATAAAGCAGGTTGTTGACGATTCTTCCACCAATCCTGATGCCACTTTCCTCCTCGTACAGCCCAGGGTCTCTGATGATCTGTTCTGCATATCTGTGACATACTTGAGCTAATTGCTGAAGTCACTATGTCAATTCATCTCATTGAAGGTCTTCCTCTCCTTTTCCATCTCTCTACCTTTCTAAACATGGCATCCCTCCCCAAGGAATAGTTTCTTCTAGCAACAGTTCCAAAGTAGGTTAGATAAAGCTTTGTCATCTTTGACTCTAAAGAGCACTCTGGTTGCACTTTTTCCAAGACATATATGTTTGTTCTTTTGACAGTCCATGAGATAGTTCAATACTCAACTCCAACACCAAAGCTCAAAGACATCAAGCCTTCGTTTGTCATTCTTAGTCCTTATCTAGCTCTCAGATGCATAGCAAGTGACTGAAAAGACTATGGCTGGAATAGACCTCAAAGTGACATCATTGCTTCTTAATAATTTAGAAAGGTCCCAGACTTTCCAGTTCATTATGTCTCCTGATCTCCTAACTGCTGATACCAAGTGTATCGATTATAGATGCAAGTAAGATGAAATTGTTGACAGCTTCAGTCTTTTTTCCATCTGTCATGATGTTGCCTGTAGGTCCAGTGGTGAGATTTTTTGTGTTCTTGACATTGAGATGCAATTCTTATTGAAGGCTTCCATCTTTGATCTTCTGGAACAAGTACTTTCAAAGTCCTCCTCACCTTAAGCAAATGAGCTTGTGTCATCTGCATAATGAAGGTTATTGATGAGTCTTTTTCCATTCCTGATTCCACTTCTCCAGAGAGTCCAGCTTCTTGATTAATTTTCTCTGCCTACAGATTGAACAGATATGGGGAAAAGATACAACACTGATACATATTGTTCTTCTCCCCTATGGTAAAAACTGCTTTATTGGTAACAGTACAAGCCAATAAATACTGGTCCTCAAATTAGAGCTCTTTTTATCTGATTACTAGTCCTTAGTAAATGGAATTAAATTTAATGATAACTTGAAATGAATCCTGCTTCTTGGGAAATGTAACCATAGCTAGCTGCTATATGGCATATACTATTCAGCAAACTGTAAAAACCATGGTAGCTCTATACAGGAGGACATCAGCTGCCCCACCCTTTAGATGCAGTGGTATTACATTATCCTCCTGAAATGTTGTTGTTGTTGTTATGTGCCGTCGAGTCGCCTGCGACTCATAGCGACCCTATGTACAACAGCCCTACACTCCGCTCTGTCCTGTGCCAATCGCACTGTCTCTGACACTCCCATCCCAATTTTCCCAGTCACTGAATCAATCCACCTCATAGAGGGCCTT